AGAGAGAGAGAGAGAGAGAGAGAGAGAGAGAGAGAGAGAGAGAGAGAGAGAGAGAGAGAGAGAGAGAGAGACAGAGATAGATAGATAGAGAGAGAGAGAGAGAGAGAGAGAAAGGGAGAGGAGAGAATTTCCATCGACTACGTCGTCGTGCGTTCATTCACGAGGTTCGAATATCACGTGAAGTCACTCACCTCGGGACAGTATTAAAACCCCTTCGATATCTCGATCGATTTTTCGGAATTCGAGTTCCCCGACTCGATTGTAGTCGCGTGAATCGTCGCTCCCGAAGAGGATTCTGTGCAGCTCCATCGTCAGCATCCCCTTAGGCTACGCTTTGTCTTAGCTAAACGTTGTCTTGGCTAGGAATCCAGCCCTAGGAGAAGAAGCGTCTTCGCGCGATGTCTGCATCACTAAGGAGTCGCAGCGCAGTTTATTGAGCCACTGCTCGAAAAGATCGACTGAAGAGTGCCGCGTGGAGTAAAGAGAACACACACTTTTCGGCTGTCCCACGAGTGCCCGCGACACGCTCCACGCGTTATGACAGTTCCGATCCGGCCCGTCAACGCGCCACCACTACATCCTCCGCTGATGCTGTGAAGCAAAGAACGGCAAAAGCAGCGCACCCGCCCGCACCACCGCATGTGAAATTGCGCGCGATCGTCAAGCCCGCGCACGTCAGGAACCGGCTGTCATCCGCGGCAGTACTCCGGCGTGTCCGCACGCGACGGACGCCGCGCTCGACGGCGACTCCTCGTCGCTCAGAAGTCGCAAGGATCTCAGCGGAATACGCGACAACCCGCGTCATCGCGATCAAACCGAGATCGCGACGATCAATTGTGCGTTACGATTGATCACGATCGGTCACGACGGATGCGAGACAGTGAGAAGATGTCATAGGGGTACGTTTGACAGCTGCCGGAGTTGCTTCTAACGTGATCCTCAGCGTGGTCGCCGATCCGCCCGACAAAACGTCGAGGACTGAAGTCGCGGGCGACACGTGTCCACGAGGGAAGAGGGAAGGAAGGGAGGTAAAACGTCAGAAGTGCGAGTGACGGGAGAGGAAACAGCGGGATCAACGTGTATCATCGATCTGCGATCGAGCACGAGGCGACGTCGGTCGTGTCGGCCGGCTGCTGACAGTCCACGTTGACTACGGTCCAGGAGGAGAGCGCGACGCGGCGGTGGCGGCGTCGACGACGGCGGCGGCGGCGGCGGCAGCAGGTGCGAACGAGGCTCGTCGCGCTGCGGGGTCCGCGGCAGTACGGAGAAGGTCGGGAAGGTGTTGTTCAGCCACGAGTCCAGGATTCTCACCCCCGGAGGCGGCGCCATCTCGCCCGGGGGCGCGGGGCCACCCGCGAGCCCATCGTCGGGGCATTATCATCCACCTACGCACAGTCCGCCGCTGGTCAAGGTGAGTCCACGTTTCGATCGGTATCGGTAACACTCTCACGCTGTCAAACTGCACCGTCGCGACGCGTCGGGGACACGTGCGAGGCGAGAAGCGCGAACAGGAAGACCCAATCGGGGAAGAATTACGCGGAGGGATAATCTTGTACACCGAGAAAAAAAATGATAGTCGTCGCTCTCACAGGAGAGATAATTAGCCATAGTTTTGCAAGAGTGACCCAATCCATAGAATTATCATTTTTGAGTCTTTATTTATTTTTTTTTTTACCAATGGGTAGTCTGTATGTCTTTCTACATAAAACAAAAGAGATTCACAAGTCTTATAGATTAAAATTAATGAGGAGAACAGTTTTTATTTTCTACTGTGTGTTGTACAATTTTTCTTCTAGTTATGTCTTTTTTAACCATTTCAAGGATTATTCATGAATATTCCCTTAAAGAGAAGAAAATCGGCTATGTTTGGTTTCTTGAATGAGGTTCTTGCGAAGAACCTCAGTGCATATTTTTTAAATTATATTTCTCTCGAAACGTACTTCATGTGATATGTACCATTCTCGTGTAACTACAGCCAATTGGCCTCACAGAAAATTAATATCATTCGCGGCGAGAGCTATGTTTTGTTATTACTCCGGTAGAAAAGCAGCAGTATTGCATTATGTGTGTACATGAGATTATTATTGGTATTGCTGTAGTAGCATTTGCTACAGATACAATTTCCCTATTATCTTATCTTATTGAGCGATTATATATTTTCTCAACGTAGCAGAAAAATCCAGAAACGCACGTTCCGACAATAATATCTACTATTTCTTTTCATTTACCCAGGATGGGTATCATTCGAGTCACACGTTTATTTGAAACGAAGGTGACGGTTTGTTTGATCGTATTCTACTTCTGTATCATTTTAATTATTCCATGAGCACTCCAGATCAATGAAACATATAGTGTTATAGTTTATCAAATTGCTCATTTCGCCGATGTGACAGATAAGCTGAAATGAATTGAATACGCAGCGTGACTACGCACAAGCGAAGGCGCTATTTTGCCTGTAACTAACGCATTTTGGATGTCTGACTTTTGAAGCAATGTACACACAATGTACATGTCCCACCCCGGACATATCAACTGATTTTTAACAAGTGTCACCTAACATTTGAGATAGGAGACTACCTTGCGTTGGGCAGTGTGTTAAGATTTTGCAAAGAAACCATTTACGATTTATTTTAAAGAAAAATCGAAGTGTATTCACGAAACGAAAGAAAACGATGAACGATTCTAAGTGACTAGTTACGATAAATTGCATAGCAAAGACCGATGAATCAGATAGAACAATTAGATAAATTAAAGATTTGTTTTTATTACAAAAGCGTGTCGTACATATATTCAGGTCTGATGCAGGTGCATACGCAAAAGCGCGCTAGCACGCGCAACTTGTGAATCTTGCGATAATCGCGTCGCGAAATTATTAATTCGGTATACGCCAGTGGTTTAAATTTGATCGCCGTTTCAGAGTCTATCGAAATTATCTTGTCACACTTAAGTGGTCTACTGGAGGGTAGAGCGGATGAACGTAATGAGTGCCATGAAATGCATTTATGCACTCGTCACGTTAAATAATAGAAACGACACCGAAAGATTTCTCCCGTATGACGTGTTATCGTTTGCGATTCTGAAACTCGGTTTTGAAACTCGGGGACGTAGAGAGATACACAGAGAGGGGAAGGAGGAAAGAGGAGGAAGAGGAAGAGAGAGAGAGAGAGAGAGAGAGACAGGCGCAAAATTCCACTCGACCTGGCGTCGCGGTGAGTCAGGATATGTATATTACTTCAAAAGTAACCCCCTCGACCATCATCGAATTACTTTAAGATTAACCGTTAGGTGTCGTGTGCGAACTAGCGCATGACGTAATAAAGCTCTGAGTAGAAAATTGGCCCGATTCGCGCGCGGGCGGCTCGTTCGTTCTATTTTCCACAAATAATTTGCATCGCGCGATCGATTCACGCATCAATGTATCGGATTGGGTCGCCGGAATGTGCCAACTCTTGCGAGTAATGGTCAAAGGCAGAATTAATAATAGCAATAATAAGAGAACGTTAGTAATAAATAATACAGTGCTTCTCTGCACTGAGAACAAAATGTTTGATATTTGTAACTATTAAATTGCATAGCAAAATAATTCGCCATAAATTATGGTGAAGAAAACTACTTTGTATTTAATTCTATTATAATGTTGGTAATAACAACTTTATAAGCATGTCACTGATGTTGTTTCCATGTTAAGACAAACAAGAAATATGATTGGGACTAGAAATAACTACAAATTCTGTTAGATCAATCATTTTTTTTCTTTCGGTACATTACTGAGAAAAAAGTATTTGGTATTTGTAACTGTAATCGTACAGTGAAGGAGTTATAGTCAGGATAACCATTTTTCCAGTATGTGTAAGGAAATGTTTACTATAATATTATAACTATCTACTATGAATATCTATTATAATGTATTACTATAATGTCAATGGTAATAACCACATATATAATTTCTTTTTGTTAAAACCATTAGAAGGTATATAATTGACGCCGAAAATGATGACACATTTGAATGAGATTAATCATTTTCGTCTCCCAAGTGTATCGACTTTTTCTCTGTCGCGAACGAAAGAGGAGCGGAGGCATCTCGGAGTTTATTGAGATCACGAGGTAACGTTGAGAGTAACGTGAAGAACGCACTGTTTCGGATAGACGCGATAAATATAATGTATACCGAAGCTGAACGGATTACTTTGCCATTTGGCAACGAGGCTAATTCGCTTCCATGTTCCGAGGGAGACGATAGATGGATGCGCGGTTGGCAGCGCTCGTTCGTGCGTCATTTTTCTGATCGTATCAGGAGGCATCGTTAGCTTGGATTCCGCTGGAAGGAATCCAAGATAAAGCCCCGCCATGGAGTGCTCGCCGTCGACATGAGTCGCCCCCGAGAATCGCCGGGGCCGGCGGAAATTCGTCGGCGAATCGTACCATAATCCACGGATATATAGCAATTAGAGCGGCAGTAGAGCGGCGCAGCCGATAATTCCGTTTTAGCTTGAAACTTGACTTTACGCTAACAGGATTAATTTGTAGCACGTTTGGGTGACCGCTTATTCTAAGCGCGCACCGTCGAACCTGGTGAGCCTGTGCGAAGTTTAAGCCGCGCCGAGTGCATTATTTATGTCGCATATTGTCGCGATTGCAACCGCCTCCCGTGTGGATAATACTTGCCGCGCAGCCCGGCGAAAGAAATCGCGCCTGTCGATACACTGAGTGAAAAGAACAGCTGATTTAACTAAAATTAAAAACTAAAATTACGGTTATTTTCGCCCCCAATCATATTTTTTGCTTGTTCTAATGTTAACAATAATGGTAGCGATAACATACATATGAGGCCGTTGTCACTAACAACGAGGTAGAATTTAATTAAAATATAGTTCTCCTGAACATAATTTGTAATAACTACTTCTTTATGTGATTTTAGTTACAAACACAAAATATTTTTTTCTCACTGCATCGACACTCGAACGTCAATGATCAAGAGAAACTTAATTCACTTTTCATGTACATGTATTAAAATGTCTCGATTTTCTCACTTTTGACAGCAATTTTTCACTTAACGCTTATTTTGATACTCTGAAAACTAATCAACTCATTTTGATTCTATTTAATATATCAGCTTTATCGAGAGATCTTTTTTACAATGTAGTAGCATTTTCTGCCATTTAGAAACACTAACAAGGAACATTCGCGAAATGTTTCGGATTTCGATGAAACTTGGCATATTTATAGAGTGGTAAAAAATAAGAGACTCACATTTTTTTTTCTTCGACAATGGCTCAGATTTAAGGAGTGAAATTATCCTTCAAAGTTTCATGCCCTTTTTGCTATCTCTGTAACTATTGGAGATAGAAAAAAACTTTTTGAACAAAAGTTGTACGGTTTTTTTATATAAAAGGAAATGGGCTAGGCTAAGAAAAAACGTCTTTAACAATTAGTAAAATAGCCATTGTTAGGTTTCATTTTTAATTTTTCAAATTTGTTATATGCATAAAAAGTTAGCATTTTTTATTTTCATCCATATATAATGTTTAGGGCTAATAGGGCTAAAATTTCGACTCGGGATTTCTCTCACCTGAACTCTCACCTTACTCAGTTGAACATTGCGCTTTCCCTACCGGCAAATCCATCTAAACGAAAATATCAACCCCATTCGCCAGTATTTGACCAAGCTCCCTCCTTGCAGTTTTATCAGAGGCTTTGTGTTCCTCTTCCTTCAACTCCGCACCGACATGCCCTGGATTCTTTCTCCCCTTTTCCCTCATTTCTCTCTCTCCCTCTCTCTTTTCCTCTTTCTGTTACTTCCGGAATCAAGTGCGATTCTGGAATTTGACGCGACAAGCGCAATACGATATCGTCCTGGAAAAGCGGCTGCTCTTTATGGTCACGTAATAACTGTGCGGGGATGTCGCCGAGCGTGGGTGGTGGTGGTGGCGGTGGCGGCGGCGGCGGCGACGAACGGTTTCGCGAACCTGTAAGGGAGAAAAAGGGGAGAAACGGCGAGGAGGGGGACGAGGGTGGAAGTAGAGACAGGACGCGAAGCAGCGGGTAGACGAAGAAAAAGAGGCCGACGATGATGGGTATAAGGGCGGCTGTCCGAGCTCGTTTTCGTCAACCACCGTTGCGAATCCCTCCGGGGACTGCGCGGCAGCTGTCTACGGGGGCCGGGGCTTTCCCGTCCGTGGAAGCCGCGCAGTCGAAACTTAACGCGGAACGATTCTTCGCTCGGCGCATCGCCGGGCCCGCAACGTCGTCGTCGTCGTCGCAAGCGACTCTCCTTCTCGTCCTCGAGATAGTCGATGAGAGGAGAAAAGGACTTCCGGCCACGCCGAAGTATTACCGGGGTCGCCGCGGAGCGCGGACGTTCGAGTTCGCAAAGTACACCAACTCGCAAAGTGTACACATCTCGGACGCGGC